CATACATCCATGCATCCAAGCATCCATGCATCCATACATCTATGTATTCATATATCCATGCATCCATATATTCAATCATCCATACATCCATGTATGCATATATCCATCCTTCTCATCATTCATTTAATAAACATTTGGTGATCATCTTTCTGTGTAAAACCCTGTGCTAGGTGCCAGAGCTATGGCTGGATCTTGAAGGATGAGAAGATAGGAGGATGGAACAGGGTGGGGCAGGACCGATGAGGCAGGGGGATTGGGATGTGCACAGGCGCAGAAGCACACAGGGGCGTGGAAAGGCACAATCAGGCTAATTCACGGAGAGCTTTGTGTGCTGCAGAAAGGTGTTTGGAGTTTTGGACTTTTTGGTTGTAAAGCAGAAGCCATTGTGGACTTTAAAGCAAAGAAATAAACCAGTTTTATTTTGGAGCTATTCTGCTGATAGACTGAATCTGAGGCAGAGAGAGCAATCCAGAGGCTCTTGGACCAGGCGCAAAGCAAGACGAACAGTGAGCATGAGGGGTGGGGATAGATTCGAGAGCCAGCTAGGAGTTGGAGTCGGCAGGACTCAGGGCCTGAAGGACCCTGGGGGTGAAAAAGAGACCGAAAGGATCCCTCCCAAGTTCCTGGCTTATGTGGCTGGTTGAATGGGTGCTGGTACCATGGACTGAACTAGACTACACCGGGAAGGCCACAAGCTTCGGCAGAGAAGGTGCGAGTTTGGTTTTGGACAACCTGAGCTAGCTGAAGAAGGTGCTAGCCAAGAGCGTGAAGTTTAAGGAAGCAGGAATAGGCAAAGGAGCATTTCTGGAAGTCAAGAGAGGATCAGTACCATAGCGAGTCTCTACCATACCTTGGGACACATTGTAAAAAAGGCGCCCTTTCTGAGCAGACCCAGTTAGAAAAAGGCAACCTGAATAGACTCAGCCACATGGCGCAGCAAGGAGCCCCGGCTGGATTTCAGCCCACATTCACCCTCTCGGCTGGGCATCTGTGTACAGCACACAAAGAGTAAAACCATCCCCAGGGGCTTTGGGACTTATTTGGTCTGGAGGATGTATCTAACAGTTCAGCCCACTGTTCACTGTGGAAAATGGATGCAGGAAACTGGAGAAGGCTGGGGGCTTGGTCAGGGAGGGAAGGTCTAATCATGACTGAAAGGTTGCATAGTTAAGCCCCTTTCCAGTGGATTCCGTTTAACCTCTTTTCTCATCTGTGAAAAGGATTACTGTGAATCCTACCTATCTCCTCAAGACATTATGTGAGGATTAAAGGGGACCATGTATGTGAAGTCTCTGAGGCATCCCTGTACCCCCAGTTTCTGGCACCAGCCTTGGCACACAGAAAGTACCACTCAATGGTAAAGGAACAGTTAAGGTAAATGGAAGTGGTGTGTGATGACAAACTGTGAAGTCTGTATACTTGTTATGCATCATGGCTAGTGAGAGAATCCAGATAATTAAAGGCTCAGGGAGGCAAGTAGCAACGTTGGGGGTTGGGAGGGTAAGGGACAGAAGATGAAGTCAGAGGTCTCTGCTGTGGCACGGGGGTCTTAGGACGTGGTCACTTCGGGGTAGGGCCGATGGGAGGTGAACTTGGTAGTTAGGACCAAGGAGGGGCAGAGGTGCCTTTAGTGAGAAACTGACAAGGGGCTCATGGTACTGTTCAGGAAGAGTGAGGACAGAAGGATGTCATCTAGAGAGAAAGGGGTGGGTGTTTTGAAGGGCTGGTGATAGTAGTGGTGATTTGGAAAAAGTGGAGAGGTATTATACAGGATGCTGTGCAACTGCAGTGGCAACAGACAGAGAGACAATGCCAGGCCTGGCGTCCCGAAGCCTACTCTCTCCCCTGGCGTGCTCAGTAAGCCTGGAGGAAGGCCGAATGGGAGAACCGGGGGTTTCTTGAGGGAACACTGTAGGTGATATGTTCTAGGGACAATCCAGATTTCACTCAGGACAGAGGATGTGCTCTAGGCTGGTTTGTCCGTGTAGGTCTCTGAGAGAGTCTGATGGCTTGGTGGATCAGTTGATGAAGAAAATCCTTGCTTTGGCCCAGCTGGGTCAGGCTCAGTACAGTGACCAGGGAACTTAGGCAGCTCCTAGGGAGGTGCTTCTAGCCACTTAGGTTCCAACTAAAGAAAAAAGCTTCTTCATGAGTGACAAAGCACTCCACATCTGAATGACCCAGGGCAGTAGCCAAGTGAACCAGAGCATGGCAGAGCTAGAATCCAGATAAGACAGACTTACTCAACTCTGAAAAACAAACTGAGGGTTCTAGAGGGGGTGGGGTGGGGGGATGGGTTAGCCTGGTGATGGGTATTAAGGAGGGCACATTCTGCGTGGAGCACTGGGTGTTATGCACAAACAATGAATCATGGAACACTACATCAAGAACTAATGATGTAATATATAGTGATTAACATAACAATAAAAAATTTTTTAAAAAAGACAGACTTACTCAAGACCACCACTTTGCATTTCATGAGGATCTTTTACTCATAGCATCTCATTTGCTCCTCCAAACGACTCCCTGTGGTAGATGAAGTTGTCTGCATATTGCAGATGACAAAAATGGGGGCATAGAAGTTACTAGAAGAAGCTGGAGCTATTTACCCAAGGGATATGAATTGATTTTTGCAAGTAGTTGCCTCTTTTCATTGTCTGTGGCCATCAGTTGAAGGCAGCCCAGGCTGACTTTGTGAGCCTACCTTATACGTTGCCAGCTATTCTGGCCTTTAAATGATGTTTCTCGTCTGTGCTGGAGGCCGGGTCTCCATTGCAGGCTAACCTGAAGTTCCTGCAGGGGAATTTGTCTCCCCCTCCCCAGGACCTGGAGACTCCGAGGGCTGTAGGCAGGCCCTGACCACAGTGCGTGTGTGTGTGCGCGCGTGTCACGTGGCATGTGTATGTCTGGGAGGGCCATAGAATCTGTCTCTGTTCTGTGGGCACACCAAGCACACATATATGTATTTGTGTCTCTGTGTGTACCTCTGTGTGTTCAGTGGAAGAATTGAAAAACGAGAGTTTCTTATTTCTTTGTGATCTCGCTCCTTTCTTTCTTCCTCCTTCTACATTTTCTCTTTCTTTTCCGTGAGCTTAGGTGGCACTGTGATGAAGTCCTCTGGCTCAGAGCTTGTTACTCAGCTTTGTCAGAGAACAGGGTCCCTCTGTGGCTGAGACTTTGTAACCTCACTTACATACTCTGCAGTCCAGAGTACTTTTGCCGGTTGGCCTGGGGATGAGGGCGGATGGAATTTGGCGTAGCCCCGCCGGAGAACGAGGCTCGCCTGAGGTCTGAGCCCCTGTGTCTGGTGCCATCATGGCTGGGAGGGCCCGGAGGGCGGCACGCAATCATAGACAAGGGTTTGTTTTGCAGGTAAAGTAGAGTTGAGTTGGGGGAAACTGAGAAGAATAGCCTGTCGGGAGCAGCCCAGGGGTCAGTCTGTCTGTCTCCTGTCCACAGCATCAGGGGAGAAGAAGGAAGGCTGGTCATGGGAGTCCTACCTCGAGGAGCAGAAGGCTGTGACTGCCCCTGTCAGCCTCTTCCAGGACGTGAGTCAGACAATTTCTACCTGGGAAGAGCTTGTATGCCCAGTCCAGGAACTCACCACCAAACTCAGGCCTTCTGGTGTATTGTGTGTCTGATAGCCCTCAAAACACTGGCAGAATGGAAGGGGGAGAGGCTGGTTAGGGTCCCAGAGTAGGAAAGGGCTCACCTTGAGAGGCTTTCAGGGTAGGAGGAAGTAGAGAGGTGGGACCCAGGCTCACCCATCACGGCACCTGTGGACTTTTGAATCCCGGTACCTTCTCCTCGGTTCTGTACGCTGATCTTCCCATGGCCTGGATAAGGGGGAGCCCTTAAGTCCAGCCCTGACTTAGCCCACATTTTTCAGAGGACCTGGGAGCTAGTCTGTCCTGCTCTGAATCCCTGCACTGAAGATCCCCAAATAAGTTACCCTTTTGGTAATACGAGGCGGGTGGGGCCTAAAGGCAGCTCCTTCACCCCAAGCCCACTAGGCAAGGATAAGACTGGATGGAGGCTGGGTCCTCCCCAATCTGTGCGTTGACAGTACCAGGCAGTCACTCATAATAAGAATGGCTTCAGACCGGGCATGAAGTTGGAAGGCATCGACCCTCAACACCCGTCCATGTACTTCATCCTCACCGTGGCCGAGGTGAGCTGAGGCTTGCACCCACATTCTGGCGATGTCTCTTTCGGTAGACTGACGGGGACTGCTGGGGGCATGGAGGGCCTGGTTTAGATGAGGGAGACGCTGCCCTGCCCTCAGAAAGCGCACAGTCTGTAGGGGCTTATGGTGGAACACACAGAAAGCTAAAAAATGGAACAAACACCAAAGTGCTGGGTGTGGTGACATTACTGAATGGTGTATCCCTCAGTGCTGGGGGAGCCCGAGGAGGAGAGATCCTGAGGGCAGGGATGTTGGTGTGCGTCCAACCAAGGTCTTGTCCTGTAGGAGCTCACAGCATGGGAATCAGTGAGATGAACACATCAGCGACATGCCACGGAGGGGGGCAGGGGGTGGCCAACAGGTGTTGAGGAGGGCAGCACCGAGGGGGCAGAAGGAGCTTCACAGATAGTCCTCCTGCCGAGCCTTGAGGGATAAGTTGTGAACAAGTCGGGTGTTCCAGGCAGAAGAAGCAAAACGAGCAAAAGTACTGGGGCATGGAACAGGGTGCCAAGTTCTGAGAGCTGCCATCAGCTTGGTGAAGTCAGAGCAGTGTGTGAGTGGAAAGCAGTGAGAGACGGTGGCAGAAGGGAAGGCCATCAGGGGCCCTGAACAAGCCTGAGCCTTGGTAGGTGCCCTTGGGGTTCTGTCCAGGGCTCAAAAGGGCAGGAAGATGTCATAGATTCCACCTGTCTCACACCCAGAACTCAGGGCTCGCGAGTACACGCTCTGTCCTCAACGAGGGATGGGAGAGCACGGGGCCAGGTTCAGGATGGGGGGAAGAGTGGTGGGCTGGGGATCCTGCTAGCATTCGAGACCCTCGAAACCACCAGGCTGGGCCAGGAGAGGTGAGGGAGAGGGAGGGGGTGCCTGCTGGCGCCCGAGTCCCTGTGATTCTCCGTCACGGGGCTAGGTGTGTGGCTACCGCCTACGTCTGCACTTTGATGGGTATTCCGAGTGCCATGACTTCTGGATCAATGCCAACTCCCCTGACATTCACCCCGCTGGCTGGTTTGAGAAGACTGGGCACAAGCTGCAGCCCCCCAAAGGTAAGGCCTAGCTGGATTACTCACAGCGACCTTCCCTTCTTCCCCGGGGGTCCCCCTTCCTTATTCCCTGTTCCACCGCTAGCCTCTCTTCATCGAATCCTGCTGTGACTAGGCCCCAGGGCTTCTGCTTTGCCCTTTCGCTTTGGGTTTCTACCCAGGTCATGTCCCACCTCAGCAGGGTTTCCTTGGGCAGGCGCTTGAGGGTTGGGAGGTCCTTGGGCCTTCCCGATTCTGGGGCTTCAGTGTGGGGCGCCCTTGCTGCGGCCCAGCCCCTGTCTGCACGGCACTCTCTTCTTCCCCCCTGAGGGGCCCAGGTTACAAGGAGGAGGAGTTCAGCTGGAGCCAGTACCTGCGCAGCACCCGAGCTCAGGCCGCCCCCAAGCACCTGTTTGCGAGCCAGAGCCACGTGAGTGTCCCTGAGCGAGAGTGGACCCCCACCCTCTGGGACAGAATCCCTGTGGCCAGCCAGGCTGTCCTGACTCATCAGGAGAGAGCGCACCTACCAGGGCCCTCAGCTTTGTTCTGGCCTCTCCCACTGAAAGGCTGGGCAGAGGGCCAGAGGGGGAGCTGCTTCTAGGTTCCGCCCAGTTTCCCCCTCCGCCCTACTGCACAAACCCTCTCCTCTGAGCACCCGCTGCGAGTCCCTGGCCCACCAGCTCAGCCCGGGCACTGGGATATCCCTATTCTCATTTCTTGCTCTGGTTTGCTCTGCAAATCTTGTTTGAAGGTCCAAGCCTCTGTTCTGGGAGCTGCTTTTTCCTTCCCTTTGACCAACACTGCAGCTCTCCCACTTAGTCCCAACACTCATTCCTTGTCCCCTTCTCTGTTCAAGGCAGCTGACAGCTTTATCCAGCAGTTAAAGTAGCTCCTGATCCCCAGCCACAGGTTTGAGAGACTGAGGGAACCCCCATTAAAGTTGTCACCATATCAAAAGTGCAGGATCCCCATGGGTCGGAGTGTCCCCGTGCCGCACAGACAGGGACACTTCCTCCCCCACCGCAGTCTGACCCCAGGTTCCCAGGTGATTGGGGGCGTTCTACCCACTATTAGGACAGGGAATGCAGTCTTGTAAGTCAAGCTGTTTAATTCCTGGCCCCACCATTGACTGGCACTGCGGTCCTGGGCATGTTATTTAACTTACAAAATGGGGATGATCGTACCCATCTCCATAGGGTTGTAGTAAAGGTCAGGGGGGAGATGACAGCTTTTAAAGCTAATGCCTGACAGATGCCCTTCCTCCCCTCTCCCCAACACCCCACTGCTGCCCCAGCTGCCTCAGTGCAGGCTAGGCCAGGCTCATCTGGGGAGGAGAGGCTTGTGCTCACCCTGGCCGACTCCTTGGGGTGAATGGGTAGCTTCCTGCCTGTGAGGCTGCCTGTAAGCATACCTTGGAGACTGGAAGCTCCCGAGTGGCTCAGGGCTGGGGGTTAAGATTCTGCCCTGGAGGGACCCTCTTTCTCAGCTGATTTCTCCCCTACCCCGCCCCGCCCCACCCCAGGCGTGACTCCTAGAGAACCTACTCCTTCCTGTGCCAGGGGGTTCTGGGTTCGTGCTAGCCAGCCTGGGCCTGGCCATGGCAGCCCCTCTTCTTGCCCCCAGAGCCCCCCACCCCTGGGCTTCCAGGTGGGCATGAAGCTGGAGGCGGTGGATCGCATGAACCCGTCCCTCGTCTGTGTGGCCAGCGTGACCGACGTGGTGGACAGCCGCTTCCTAGTGCACTTTGACAACTGGGACGATACTTACGACTACTGGTAGTGGGAGGGCCCAGACTTGGCCTGGGGGTGGCGGGGTGGCCGGGGCCGGAGGCAGTACTTTCAGACCTCAGGCGCCACGTGGCCCCTGCCTGGGCCTGACATTGATTTTGGCTCTGGGGTATCACTGGCTTTGATCTGCATCCTAAGAAACACAATGTAATATTAGTTGTTTCATCTAAAAATACCAAGGTTAGGTTGAGCAAGCCGCTGTGTTTCATGATTTTCCCTTCGACATTACGGGAGTCCTAGCGTTTGTAGTTAATGCTGCAGCGTTCAGACTTTTTTATCAGCCATCGGTGTAGCTGTCCCTAAGCAGCAGAGTGAGGGAGGGCACTAAAGCCGTGCTGCCATCATCCTCAGAGTGTCACTCGGGACAGTGAAGTATTCTTGGTTTCAGGTGTGACCCCAGCAGTCCCTACATCCACCCGGTGGGCTGGTGCCAGAAGCAAGGAAAGCCCCTCACTCCTCCACAAGGTGACCCTGCAGCCTGAGAAAAAGCCCTTTCCTGGGCCTGGCCCCACAGCCCTCTCCTCCGATCCCTTAGCAGTGCCTCCTTAGCTGGGTCTTTAGGATCTCAGTGAGGGGATGGAAGTGTCCTGGAGCCTCATCTTCTTTGCTTGGGAGTTGAGAAGTCTTTGATGTTAGGAGAGACCTGTTAGCCCCCGGCTCTGCTGAGGTTTAAGGAAGAAAGTTAAATGACCCCCTCAGCACAGGAGCGGGGTTCCAAAGCAAAGAAAGTTTCCAATGGGGCTGGGGCTGGGGCTGGAGCAGCAGGGCCAAGGATGGGGAATGGGAGCCAGGCTTCCCAGACAGCCCTGTGAACTGTGGGGTGGTGATGTGCTTGGTTCTGGCCAGCACCCCTCTGTCTCAGGAGCCTCTGCCGGGAGCTGGCTCTGGTGGTGGGGGGTGGGGTGCTGTACCCCTTCCATGTTCCTGGTCCCGAGACATTGTTCTCATCCTCTCCTCCAGACTATCCAGACCCTGATGGCTTCTGTTGGGAGAAATATCTGGAAGAAACCGGGGCCTCTGCTGTGCCCACCTGGGCCTTCAAGGTGGTGAGTCAGCTCTCTCTGCTCCCAGAGTTGACCTCTGGGAAGGCATGGAGCACTTGGCCAGCCAAATGGAGTGCTCCCCACTTTGGCAGGCCATAATTTCCAAGGCACAGCACTTGGGCTCCCCCTCCTTAGGGCCTCGGCTCCGCTGAGCTGGGCCTTGGCCTGAAAGCTGCTGTCCCCTGCAGCGGCCCCCACACAGCTTCCTGGTCAACATGAAACTGGAAGCCGTGGACCGCAGGAACCCAGCCCTGGTGCGCGTAGCCAGCGTGGAAGATGTGGAGGACCATCGGATAAAGGTGGCCCCGGGCACCTCGGGCTAAGGGAGTGGACAGGCTGTTTGGGCAGGAATTCTGTACACTGGCCAGAGGTCAAGGGCATGGCATGAGCCAGACATAAGGGAGGCTGCAGGTTTAGGAAGAGAGCTCTACACTCGAGGTTGAAGAACTTGGTCTTGCTCTAGCCTCATCTGTGACTTATCTTTGTGGGCTGGGACCAGTCATTTCCCCTCTCTGAGCCTATCAAGTGGGCCTGATGACCCTTGTCCTGTGCCTGGATTAATGGAAGATGCCAGTAACTTAAATGAGTGAGGCCCTTGGAAAATGTGGTGGCGGAGGTGGGTTATTGTGAGGTTGGCCCCTTGGTTCTTCCATCCAGGATGTCGCTTCTGACGGGCCCCGGGGACAGGGAGAGCCACCAGGAGCCTGGAGGACCTCCTGGCTGAGCTGGGTTCCACGAGGAACACCTGACCTCCAACGGCCTTTTCTCCCCAGCTCCACTTTGATGGCTGGAGTCATGCCTATGACTTCTGGATTGACGCCGACCACCCGGACATCCACCCCGCGGGCTGGTGCTCCAAGACAGGGCATCCCCTGCAGCCTCCTCTCCGTGTGTACCCTTAGGACACTCTGACCCTTTCCTACTGATGTCCAACCCAACCCCGTGAGCTCTGACAGTCCCTCTCCTATAGCTTGCCCAAGGGATTCTGACCGACATGCACAGCTGGGCTCTAGTGCCCACAGTGAGCTGTGGGATTCCCCCATCCTCCCTGCCTCAGTGGTCTCTGCTACACTGAGCCACGCTTCTGGCTTCCCCAGCTATTGGGTTTAGGGTACTGAGCTGTCCAGGGGCAAGCTCACTTGGGATCATGAGCCTCGGAGAGAGTTATGCACCCGGGGAGTTCCCTCAGCATCCAGCAGAGCCTCACAGAGCAGACATTATGTTTGCTAAGGAAACCAGGTTACCTTAACTACAATCCTGGTCCCTGTAGGTGGGGTGGGAGGTCAGGTCATCAGACCTCCCAGCTCCAAGACACATGGGGTATTGATCCTTCTCGATTATTCTCCAAGTATGAGTAGGGCCTAAAGCAAGTTACCAGAGCCTTGAGAATGAAACAGGGAAGCAGACAGGGTAACATAATTGTGCCTGGTGTGGCTTCTCAGCTGCCTCGCCCACTCCAGCTCTGAGTTGATCTTTTCCCCTAGGGTTCTCCTCTCAGAGACAGGGCACCTGGGGTTTCAGCATGAAATGAGAGCCAAGCCCCCATACCCCAAAGAGGGGCAGATCCTCAGTAGCAGGAAATGATGTCACGGTCTAGGTTAGGGCCCCGCAGCTGGGGAGCTAGCTCCTAGTGCTGAGCTTCCCCATAGAAACTGTTCCTGCCCTCCCTGCCCTCCATCCCCCCATCCCACCCCCAACCCAGGACCCTATGCTAACTCTTCTTCCTGCTCCCCCAGGACCCAGAGAGCCCAGCTCTGCCTCCCCTGGGGGCTGTCCCCCTCTCAGCTGTCGGAGCCTGCCACACACTAGGACCTCCAAGTACAGCTTCCACCACCGGTGAGTGAGGGGCTCCTGCTAAGAGACCCTCAGGCATTGTTCAGGGAGGGGCTCTCCTACACCTCCAGTGCACGGCCCATCAAGGCTCCCCAAAACACTCTCCGAATGGGGCCAGCGCTGGGAAGGGCTCAGTGGGAACAAGTGGGGATTCAGCCCAACTTAAGCCTTCTTCTTCTTCCTCTTGCCCAGGAAGTGCCCCACTCCTGGTTGTGATGGTTCCGGCCACGTCACAGGCAAGTTTACAGCTCACCACTGCCTCTCGGGCTGCCCCCTGGCTGAGAGGAACCAGAGTCGGCTGAAGGCGGAGTTCTCCGACACAGAGGCCTCGGCCCGTAAGAGGAACCTCACGGGCTTCTCCCTAAGGAAGAAGCCTCGCCATCACGGCCGGTGCGGAGGGCAAGGGTGCAGGAACTCGTGTCCTCTGGGGCCAGGCCAGGCACTGATTCCCTGCCACGGACCCGGTCCCTCTCTCTCCAGGATTGGCCGTCCTCCAAAGTACCGGAAGATCCCGCAAGAAGATTTCTCGAGTAAGTCCTGACTCCTCTACCGCATGCCCTGCACAAAATGTTCACAGTGAGTGTGTGGTAACTGGGGGGAGAAGTCACGAGGGGGACCCGGAGGGGGCAGCGGGTGGGGTGGCCGCCTCTTGCTTTCACGTCCTTGCAGTGGTGAGAGCACAGGAGTCCCCGCGGGTTCCAGTCCCACCTCACCCAAGACCTTGTTGTGAGTCTGCAGGAGACACAGAGCCTCTCTCTGGGCCTTGGGTTCCCCACTGTGTGGCCGGAGGATGCCCCCTAGCCCTGCTCCTCTAGCCTCTAGGCCTCCTGGGAGGGAGGCCTGGCTCTCACTGTCTAGCTGTGTGACCTTAAGCAAGTCACTTCATATTTCCGAGTCTCAGTCTCATTTGAGGACATGAATAATACTTCTTTCAGGCATCGAGTACCTGAAATAATAGTACTTAGGAATAGTACTTAGCAATAACATACTGAGCACCTACTGAGGGCCGAGCACTGTCACAGGTGCCTTACGGACATGGTCGCTGACCCTCACAGGCATCCTGGAACGTGGACACCATTCTCTTTTGCTGAGAGAAGAGGAATGGGAGGCTCAGAGGTGAAGTCACTCGCCTTGTAAGGGGCAGAGCTGGGACTCAGACTCGGGTCTGACATCTGCTCTGTGTGCTGGTGTAGCAGGCTGAACGCACCTAGTCCAAATGTCAGCTCACCCCTCCATCTCCTTTGTCTTAGCTTGGGTGCCACAACCAAGTACCACAGACTCCGTGGCTAACCCACAGAGAAGTTTATTTTCTCACACGTACAGAGGCCAAAAGTCCAAGATCAAGGTATCCGCAGGGTTGGTTTCTTCTGAGACCTCACACCTGGCTCACAGGTGGCCGCTTTCTCGCCGTGTCCTCCCGTGGTCTGCCCGCTGTGCCTGTGTGCTCCCGGTGTCTCTCTGCGCATGTCCAAAATTGCTTTTCTTGTCAGGACACCAGACTGGATGAGAGCCCACCCTAACGGCCTCATTTGAACTTAATCACCTGTTGAAAGACCCGTCTCCCAACACAGCTGACCCTTGAACAACAGGGGTTTGAACTGCGTGTCTCCACTTATGTGCGGATTTTTTATAGCACAGTACTATAAATGTGTTTTCTTTATGATTTTCTTAATAACATTTTCTTTTCTAGCTTCCTTTATTGTAGGAATACGGTATATAACCCATATAACATACAAAATCTATGTTAATTGACTGTTTATATTGGTAAGGCTCCCAATCAACAGTGGGGTATTAGCAGTGAAGTTTTTGGGGAAGTCAAAGTTATACATGGACTTTGACTGCATGGGGTGTTGGTGCCCCTCACCCCCACATTGGTCAAGGATTAAATGTATAGTCCCATTCAGAGGTACTGGGGGTAAGGCTTCAACATATGAATTTGGGGGGAATACAGTGAAGCCCATAGCATGCTCCAAAGGGAGGGACAAGGTGACTGAGCCTTCCTTTGGGTGACAGATTCACCTCATGTCTTCAGCCACCGGCACAGGGCCTGATAGATAGCAGGAGCGCTAGGGCTCTTGCCTTAGTTGAGTTGAATGCCCATGGTCTTAAGGCTAGAAGAGACCATGGGAGATCACCTGGTTCAGTGCTCAGTTTGTGGACAGGACTTAAGCTCTTCCAGTTCTTCAGGAACAGTCTCTGCAACCTGGACTATATGGCATGGTCGTTAAAAGCACAGTGCTGGAGTCAGACGGCCTTTTACGGGCTGGGAGACCTCGAGCAGGTGACCCCCCTCTGAGCCTCAGCTTGCTCATCTGTGCAATGCTGATGATATGCCCACCTCAGAAGGTAGTAGGGGGCTTAAATAAAAAGGTCAAGTAAAGGGCTTAGCACCAGTACCTACTGGTATTATTAGCCCTGTGTGTGTGGCTGACCTCCTCGAGCTGCCGTTCCATACTCCTCTTGGTGGAAGCAGAAGGCACTTCCTGAGGCTTCAGGCTTGAGTGAGGAGGGGCTTGGCCAGCCTCCCTGCCCTCAGAGTGAGGACTTCTGGGGACGGGACTATAGTGGGCATCTTCTCTACCTGACTGTGGGACACCTGGCCAGCTTCCCGTCCAGGGCCAGGTTCTGACCACCAGGAGGCGCATGCCTGTGTGTTCATTCCAGAAGCATCCTGAGAACTTGGGAAGTTGTCTTTCCAGAGACTGAGGCTATGGCGGGAGAGGGTGAGGAAGGGCTTACCCAATAATAATAATAATAATGCTATAGGTTGAATGTTTGTGTCCCCCCCACAAATTCATATGTGAAACCAAATGGTATTAGGAGGTGGGGCTTTGGGGAGGTGGTTAGGTCATAAGGGTGGAGCCCTCACAAATGGGATCAGTGCCCTTATAAAAGAGACCCCCAAGAGCTCCCTTGCTCCTTCCACCATATGAGACCCAGCAAGGGAAGTTGGCTGTTAGCCAGGAAGTGGGCCTTCACCATATACCAAATCTGCTGCTGCCTTGATCTTGGATTTCCCAGCCTCTGTGACCGTGAGGAATACATTTCTGTTGTTTGTAAGGCCAAAGAAACCAAAAACCCAGCAGCTTCTGACTTGTCCCTAGTTGGCTCACAGTTCGATAAGACACCTGCTGCCCGCGAGAGCCCCCATCCCGTGCTCTGGGGAAGAAAGAGAAGGAGCAGGGCTCCCTACAGCCTCTTGGCCTTGTCCCCCAAGACCCCTCCGCTGGTACGTGGAGAACCAGAAACGGCCTCAGAGGCAGGAGGCCAAACCTCCTCTGGCCAGGAGATGGCCAGGAGATGGCCAGGAGACGAAGCGCTGGGCGGAGGCTGCCCAGGGAGAGGCTCCTGGTGCCGCCGGCGGGCACCGAGAGCTGGCTGGGCGGCGCCCGGGAGCGGCTCCCTCGTGGGGCTGGAGGCTGGCTCCTGGGGTCCGATGAGCAGGGATGGCAGCAGGCAGGAGGAGCTACAGAGGGCGGCGCGGGGAGATCCTAATAGGATCCTGGAGGCTCAGCGGGTGGTTGCGAGGGGCAGGGTCGGGGCGAAAGGCCAAAGCTAAGGGGACCAAAGGGTCAGGGCAGGGACTGTCTGTGACGAGAAGGGGGCGGTGGCGAGGGGCAGCCTCGGGTCCAGAACTGACGCCCAGTGAACAGCAAAGAGGCAGCTCTCTTGGGCTGTGGGCAGAGAGAGGCAGGGCAGGCCCCGTGGGGCAGAGGCCACATGGCTCAGGGCCTGCTGAGGCTGGCAAGGTAGGCAGGGGCCAGGCTCGTCAGAGAGGCCAAAGGGAGTTGAAGTCCAGGCAGGTGAGCGCCGGGCCTGGCCAAGGAGGAGGCCCCGCAGAGCAGCATCACTCCTGAGACCCCCTAGCAGCAGCCGAGGCTGGAGGCTGGGAGGCAGGCCCCAGGCAGAGCGGCGGGCAGCGTAGGCAGGGGGTGGAGCGGAGCAGGCTGGGGTGGGGTAGGGGAGAGGAGCGGAGCCAGACACAGTGGCCACAGCTTACGGGGGCGGGGGGTTCCCACACGGAGACCCCCTGACTCTGCTTCAGTTGGTCAGGGCCTCAAAGGCCTCAGGAAAAGGAGGGCAAACCGAACGGGCTTCTGCTGCCCAGGCTGAGAGTCTTGGCTGTTAGAGGCCATTCTGGTGTGGAGCATCTGGAGAACTGTTGGGAATGCCTCAGCATCTTGTGGGGCCCAGGGTGATACAGCCTCAGAGAGATGGGGCCGGGTCCTTCCTCACGGCTGACTCCCGAGAGTCCGTAAAGCGAGAGACTCACTTAACCAGGGGGAGCGAGCAGTGCATGAGGGGTCCCGTCGCCCTCCCTCTTGGCTCTGCGAGACTCTCACTCAGAAGGGGGCCGTTGTCCTCCCGAGGGGCATGGGTACGAGCGGGCCTCGGGGAGCAGCTGAGTCCTCAGCATCGGCCTGCAGCCTCGGCCTCTGCCTCTAGCGCTAGCCGCCGACGCCATGCACCAGTCCCTCTTCATGTCGGCCCTGTCGGCCCACCCGGACCGCTCGCTGTCCATGTGCTGGGAGCAGCACTGCAAGCTCCTGCCGGGAGTGGCGGGCATCTCGGCCTCGACGGTTGCCAAGTGGACCATTGACGAGGTGAGAGCGAGGACCCGTCCCCGTTCCTGTCCCCTACTTTGCCCTCTCACCACAGCCTGGCAGGAGGGCTCAGCAAAGGCCCTGGTGAGGCAGAGGCGGACGCTGCTCCTCACAGCATCTGCTGCCCCTCCAGCCTGTCCGCCGTCCCTCTTGGTGCCCGGCAGGGGCTGCGAGATGGTTCTGTAGGCCTCCCCTGGTGGGTGGGGGAGGGACGTGCTGCTAGTTCCCATGCAAGTCTGGCGGGAGAGACGCTTCACCTGGGCCCCACCTTGCTCACCCGGCGGCAGAGACGCAAGGGTCCTCTTAGGCTAATAAGAAAAAGCGACGCTGTCCAAGCCCAGAGAGCACCAAGTGCACGTGGGCCCGCCTCCCCCTGCACTCCCAAGCCCCCGTCCCCTTGGCAACACGTGCTTCTCTGGTTTCCAAGGTCTTCAGCTTCGTTCACACCCTGACCGGCTGTGAGGACCAGGCACGACTCTTCAAAGATGAGGTGAGGTGCAAGTGCAGAGTGGGGACAGAAGGGTCAGCCACTGAGGCGACCAGGGAGCGGATGCCCTCGCCAGCGCTGCCCCCTGCTAGGGAGGGCCCTCTGTTGTCCTGCCTGTGGGAGACTGGTCACAGTGACCCACGTCTCTGGGAAAAACCCGGTATGGACTGTGGCCCAGCTTGCAAACCCTGTGTTCAGATCACGGCAGGAAGGAAAATGCCTCTTGGAGACAGGGCTCCATTCACTCCTCTGCTCTGCACCCAGCCTGTCTTCCAGACCTAGCTCACTAGGGACAGTGAGTTAAAGTGGGTCTTGAATGGCATACGTCTGCCTTTTACTGCAAGGATCCTAACATATACTTAATTCCAAGACCCAAAAGCTTACTGAGGATAAGAAGCAGTGAGTTGTACATAAAAGAACCCTAGCTTCACAGACAGTGTGGGTGTGAATCCCAGTTCTGCCAGTTTGAGCTCTTTACTGTGTCTGAGTCGGCATCTTCTTATCTATAAAATGAGATAAAAAGGGATAATGAGGGCTAAGTTGATGACAACCTTGCAGGGCCGTCGTGAGCGTTGGAAATGATGAATGGATCATTGTACCAGAATGTCTAGTATAATTATATCACTAGCCTGCTATAGAATAATACACAAATCCTATCACTCTATAAGAATGCCTGGTACAGTGGGGGCTCAGTGGTGGTTCTGGCCCTTAATAGTCATCCTTAAGTAAAGAACTTTGTCGTGACTCTCCCAATTTACACAGTTTGAAACTGGAAGGGACCTTGGAGTTTGTTTAGATCTGCCTTCCAAAGAATACACACATCCATCCCCCATCACCCAGGAAATCATAGTCTCAACTCCCGGTAGAGGCCCCCTACAGGTCAGGCGCCCATAATAAAGAAGTCTGCTCCTCTCCCCTGAGAAGAATCTCTTTATCCAGACCCAACACAGCCAGTTCTTCATAGTATCCTTGCGTGGCGGAGGATAACTCCACCCGCTCTGGGTGCTTGCCTCCTAGGCTGGTGATCGTACTGTAACGTATGTGTTCAGAGCCGTACACCGGTTTCAGATGCCTTCTGACCAGCACAGAACATGCTGGTGGGGTTCTCCAGTACCTGCTTTTTGGTTTTGTTTTTAAAAGGACTTTATTTTTATAGAGCAGTTTTAAATTGACAGCAAAATTGAGAGGAAGGTACAGAGAATCCCCCTCAACCCCCCACCCTGACACAGACACGGCCTCCCCCCCCCTTATCAGCTGCACTCAGCACAGTGGCACTCTTGTTAGAATTGTTGAACCGACACCCAGATGTTTCTTAATGAGGATAAAAATGTACATGGAGCAAAATCCACGCATCCTAAAAGTACAGTTCCACGAGTTTTGTGAGATGTATGTACCCTGAACCCAGTACTTCAACCAAGATATAAAACATTCCCATCAAAGTGGAGGGTTCTTTCTTGGCCCCTTTGTCAGTCCCCGCCCTCATCAGCAGCCACTGTTCAAATTTCTAGCACCGTAAGTTAGTTATACCTGTTCTTGAACTTCACATAAATGGGGGTACAGCTTTTATTCTTGGTGTCTGTCTCTTTTCACTCTGTAATGTTTTTGAGGTTCATCCATGTTATTGTGCATGCCAGTAGTTTGTTCATTTGTATTGCTGAGTAGTGCTCCATTTTATGAATAGCCCACAGTTCTCCTGTTAATGAATATTTGAGTTGTTTTCTCTTCCCCTAGATACAAACCCTATATATATATATATATATCTTTTTTTTCATCAAAAATTAAGTTTGCACTAGCTTCATTATAGCCACATCAGACCAGTTTGGAGGTCACGAAAGTCCCCAAGTGCCTTTTATATCAATTATCCATTATAGTCTAACCACATTTTCCAGTTTGTTACTTGTACCACTGGATTTTTTTTTTAATTAACCTAATGTAAAACTTTACTTTTATCCCTATTAAATGTTATTTTGTTGGTTTCATAGTCTCATTGTTTTAAATCTTGATTCTGTCATCTCTGATATTAGTAAGCCTTTCCAGTCTCATACAACTTACCATTTGATAACTAAGGCACACCTTCACCACACCTGTTTCACGAGATGGAGCCATGTGGCACCCGTTAGAAGTCTTCCCTCCGTGACAACAGTCATAAACCAGTGCTCCCTGAGTGCAGTCGTCAGCTAGCCACAGAGCCACGCGAGAGTTAGGTGCTCCAGCATCCTCCCCTTGTCAGAAGAAGGGCTCTCTCCCCCCCAGGGCACCTGCTGCGTATCTCAGTTCAGCATGGTCTGGGGTTCAGCATGGTCTGGGGTACAAAAGCAGTGGCCAGCAGGGGCACAGGGTGGACTGCCAGCATCAAATGGAGTCTCAGTGGGGGGCAGGACCTCCGTGAGAGCTGAGGATGACCCTTCCCAGAATCTGGTCCATGCTCCAGGGAGTGGCCTTTGTCGGGCTGAAATGATACATTCGGACACACACATCAAGATTCTCTCCAGCTGGGACACAGAACAGTCATTCGAGGGATGTGTCATGAGTGAGACATTAGGGCAAAGCAGATGGATGGTCTCATGGGTAGTCAGTCTGTCCAGTCTGGCAGTTGGCCCTGATGGTGCTCAGGAAAGTGTGCCCAGATTCGGACTAAATCACTCTCCTATCCTCTCTCCCCCCCCCCCCCCCCCCCCCGCAAGAATAGCTCGTAGGTGACACTGTGTACATCACACCGCATCCCCTGCGCGTGTCCCCGGTGTCTGCCTGTTGACCTGCCAGCAGCGCAGACATTGACCCGGGGCTTTGTGGGGGAAGCACAACAGCAGGTGTTTTGAGGCCGCTGTCTGTGGGGACTCAGAAGACGTTAAGCACATACACACTGACATCAGACCAGGCAGCAGAAAAAAAGAGTGTGTGTGAACATGGGGGAGCCAGCGGAGATCTCTGTCCTTCTCTGTCCCCATCGCTACTTCCTTTTTTCCTTTCTCCCTCCCTCCTTTCTCCTTTTCCTTCCTCTTCCTGTCTCTGTCCTCCCCGCCCCCCATGCATCCTTGACTCCGATTCTCTTTCTCCCCCGCCCGCTCCCCACGCATACCCCACCTCTCCGTCCGTCACTCCTTCCCACGGCCCTCTCCACCTTCTCTGCCTTCCGCCTCCCTCTCCCGACCCCTCAGATGATTGACGGCGAGGCCTTCCTTTTGCTGACACAGGCGGACATTGTGAAGATCATGAGCGTCAAGCTGGGTCCAGCCTTGAAGATCTATAACGCCATTCTCATGTTCAAAAACGCCGATGACACCTTAAAGTGAGTGGCTCAGGGCTGGGCTCACCTCCAGCCCAAGCTGGGCCTCCCTCTGCAGCTGATGCTTCCTTCCCGACTTGAGTTCCTCATACCCCACCCATACCCCCACCACCCTCTACGTCTTACCAGGGGTGGCCCTCCTTCTCTCCGGGGCTGCTTCCTACAAGGTACTTGGGAGCCCTAGCCCCTGAGTCCTGGGGCTCATCTGCCACCAGGCACACCGGTGAGGGTGTGACTGGGCTGGGGGGAACATTACCGGGGGAGTGGATTGGAGGGGCCCTGCCTCTAGCCACCCCACATCTCCAGCTGACTTGTGTGATCACCAAAGGGTCTTTTTCTTAGCGGTTAAGGACAGTCTGGTTGAACAGGAGTCCTCCGGTCAGAGGCTCATTTCTCTTGGACCTCTCTCCATGCTTTTCTTTTCTTGGCTCCGACCAAGAAGTGACCCAGCCACAAACATATGTACTCATTCCGCTGTCGGGTTTCCTGGGCCAGGCCCCCAGCCATGGCCCTCCCAGACCCCACTGGCCCTTCCCCCTTAGATGGGTAAGCTTTGGAAATAGGTTGTCAAAGGATCCACTGGGAGTCTCTGGCTGCTTTTCTCCCTTTCGCCCGGAAGCGGGGGATTCCAAGCCAAGATGCCTTCCTGAGCATGCCCTGTGCTGGACAGCTGGCGTCTTGGTGGCCCACGCCAAGGCCCGCTTCCAGCAGAGTGGGTGGTTAGAGCCTTTTTTACCTGTGCAGAAAAGGTTAAGGCTCCACATCTGTTCCCCATATGCCCTTCCTGTATCAGGTGTGGGGAAGAGGCGGCCCAAGGGTATGTCAGACAATCTCGGGTCTTTGGCCAGAGGGGCAGCTCCAGCAGGCGCAATGGTCCCCGAAGCTGGGCACAGCATCCTCACCTGCAGCCATGGACCTCAGCCAAGGTATTGCCCCCGGGCTGAGGACCCCATGCCTGCCAGGCCTGCTGCCGTGGTCTAGCACACATACCTCACAACATCACATTCGGCCTGTCCCGTAAATGTCTTGCTCTTGAGGAGTCTTACAAAGTCCCCTTGAAGCTGGAAGTTGGGAAGGTGAATTCTTCTGTCTGAATCCTCTGTGTCCGTGAGCTGTGAGCCTTTCTTACCACTCTCCCTTTGCAACTGCCAGCCAGGTGGCCTGCCGGGCCTTTGGGACTTCAACCTTTCTGTCCAGGTGGGGGCCTGGCCTCCCCTGATCCACTGCCAAACCAGCCAGGGTGGGGCAGAGGCAGAGGGCGCGGCAGCAGCTGCCCCCCCCCCCCACAGGGGTGAGGGACAACCGCCAGGCTCCCTCCCGTGGCCCCGGGTGCTGCAAGGGGCCTGCAGGGTGCAGAGCCAGGCCCATTCCCTCAGTCCTGTGATGTGTGTGCCCATAGGGCACCCTCAGAAGTGCCGGACAGGTGCATCTGTGAGGCTCAGCGCTGGGAAAACGTCAAGGGCTATTACTGTTAAAATATGAAGCTTTAGCTTTCCCACAGAAGTGGGACACCCAAAGCTCTGTTGATGTCCTGCCGCAGCCCAGTACGGGACCCTCTGTCACATGGGCCCGCACAGCTCTGCAGGGCAGCCAGTCAGCCGCCCCGCTGAACTCCCACAGGACTTCGGATGTTCCCGCCCTTGTGGCCCTTAAAGGCAGCTCTGAGCACACCCTTCCTGGGAAGAAAGCGGGCAGGCCCTGCCTCTGGCTGAGGCTCAGCTTTACAGAGGTCGCTTTGGTGTCCCCTTGGCCAAGAGTCAGGAGGAGCCCGTCTGGGCGTCTGTCCTTTGGTTCCCTTGGGTGGTGGCGAAACTCCCCAGCTCCTTGGCCGGGTCTGCTCCTCTTTGAAACTGAGGAGAAACGGGCTTCGTGGTGTGAGGAGAAGGCAGCGAGGCCGCGCGGCTGTGCCGCGGGACCTCCGCGCTCCCGAGGAGCAGGGCTGGGCGGCGGACCTGCCGGCCACCCACGAAGGCCTGCCGCGGGAAAGGCAGGCTGGACCCACGCAGGGCCTCGCGAGAAGGAGGCCTCAGCACTTTCTGCACCCACGTCAAACTCCTGGGAAAGAAACCGGAAAAAAGGGGGAAAGCAGTGTGCCCTCCTGCCCCTTCCTCCCAATCCTGTCCCCAGAGGAGATCTTCACACGCGGACCGCTGACCAGGGTGCAGGTGAAGGGAGGGAGTCGGGGCCAGGGCCCTGCTCTCAGCCGCAGCCGCGCCCAGCCCCCGCCCAGCCCTGGCTGAGGTCAGTGAGGACCTTTCTGTTTAATTTCTGAAGCAGAGAGAATGAGTCCAGAGTTTGAAAATGAAGCCCGTTTGCACTTTCATTCACATGCACTTTGGTGGAATTGTTTTTGTACTTTCCGTGTGTGTGCGCGCGTGCGCGTGCTTTAAGAGAATTCTCTGGTTTAAGATAAAGTGACTCTTGACTCTTGAAGGAGAAAAATTTACAAACTGTGGTGTTTTGTCAGTGTATTGAAACAACATAAATAAACTTTGAACATCTGGATGATATGCAGTCAGGGTCTGTTTCTATTTTCATGATAAAACATCCAGAAAACACAAAATGAGTATCAATAGTGCCACTATTTTTTTTTTAAGATTTTATTTATTTATTTGACAGAGACAGCGAGAGCAGGAACACAAGCAGGGGGAGTGGGAGAGGGAGAAGCGGGCTTCCCGCCGAGGAAGGAGCCAGATGTGGGGCTCGATCCCAGGACGCTGGGATCATGACCTGAGCCAA